TATTCCTAAGCGCTATGCTGTCAAGAAGTATGAAGTAGGCAAGGCCTTAAAAAAACTGTTCAATCTTTCTTTCATGGAGATTTTGATTAATACTCTTTCATAGCCAATCGGTATGGCATATAATATTTATTTTATTCTTAAATGTTAAATCCTTTAAATACAGCTTCCAGCATCAAAAGTCACAGTACAGTAAGAACATAGTGATAAAACACCTGGGTTTGAATATTCTCATCATATTAACATCAGATAGTTACACCTAAAAATTCAGAAGAAGGCAACAGATTCTATTCAGGGAAAGGTTGAAAGAATAAATAGGATTTGGGGGCTTTCTTAAAGGCAGGCATTTATCAATAGATAACATGTAGCAAACACAAACATAAACTGCTTGGGCTGACCCCAGATATTCATTTTTTAAACCATTTCAACACTCTCAGACAAGACACCTATTCTTAGTAAACTGTAATCTATTACTTTTTATGCATGCATTTACACAGACACATACACAGACATAAACACACACACACATACACACAGAGTCAAAGGGTTAGTCAGTTGCCCAAAGTCTAAAGTAAATAAAATCCATTCAAGATAAATAAAAATCAAGCTTATCTAAAGAACATACCTGTACTCTGTGTACAAATTTGTTCCAATTAGTTCATGGCTTATGTCCATTCATTCAGTGACTGTTCAAAACCACAGCAGCACTGAAAAAAAATGGACATAGGTCCGGTTCTTGAAGTTCCAACTGTTGTACAACCCCCATGATCACATGTTTATGATCTGGGCACTTGAGTACCTGCTCATGATTATGATATTGGTGGGAGGTGAAGTCATAAAATTGCTATTTGCAATCTTCTCTGATTGCTTCTCATAGACCTTGTTAGAGTTCAGATGATAACATATTCTCATAGGCATAAAGCATAAACAACTTTCTCTCTTACCACTATAGATGGTATTAAGAAGCTACTAAACCAGATCTGGAGAACCTTTCATTGGGCTCCATTGGGAGACTGTTTCTGACCAGAGTTCATATTTTCATCGTTGGGGATCTATGATGTAAAAGTGAATTCCAAATTTTTTCAAAAATTAAAAGACTATCACAACCCCTGAAAGCCTTATGGTTAAATATAAAACTAGAAGTACTATATTATAAGTCATTGAGTTTGGTAGAATGATAAAGAGAAGATTCTGAGGATTACACAATGTACTGCAGAACACATATGTCCAGGCAAATCAAAAGTGTCAGCGCTTTTCCTGGCTGGGGTGCTGACTGGGGAATTCTGGGAGTTAAAATCCACAAGTCTTAAAGTTGCCAATGTTGGACATCCCTATATTAAAGTGACCAAAGTCTTTCCATCTCAAAGACAACATGGAATGCTATGAAAAGATGATCTCTAAGGTTTAAAAAAGATCTTGTATTTCTCATTTATACGAAGAACTTTCCTATTTCTCATATACACAAAGAACCCTTATCTTCATGATTAAGGCAATCTATCCTCTTTTATGTTGCACAAATAAATCAATTCTCCTCTGCATTCTGAAGACAGTTTTACCTTATAATCTTGAAGATTCATATAGTTCAGCTATGCCTAGAGTACATGAAAGTTTCAAAGTGCAATTTCAGAACTTTTAATTAAATTGTAATTTATTCCAACTTGGTGATTCATTTGTTTATATTATATATTATAATAAATAACAGTAGCTAAGATTAATTATAGTACCAAAAAGGTTAATGTCAACACCATGAAAATCCTGATTTTCACACACCCCACCAATATCTCTAGCTGTAAATCACTGGAAAAATTATTTGCCAAAAATTTATAGAAATACATAATAAAAAATAGCTTCAAGATGAACAAATAGTCCCACGTTAGAACAAAATTTACTTCTCATTTGGAGATAAGCATACCTAGCAATCTTATCAAGAAAAAAACATATACAAGCATAATAGGATTACTGCATCCTCCATATTACAGTTATGGCTTTGTAACTTAATTGTGCCAACACACATTATGTACTGTACTTCTGAATGGGTGGGATGAGAGCAGCATTATGTTGACATGCAAAGTAGTCTCTAGATTAAAGATTTTAATTTGCATAAAATAGTATAAACATATTTGAGGTAAAACTGGACTTTGATCATACTTTTGTCATACTATTCAAACTGTGCTAAAATTGACCTGTTCTGTCATTAGCAGGGGGTTGGATAGGATTACGGCAGTAAGTCAGTCTACATTTTGAGGGGAAGGATGCAAGAAATCTGAAGAAAGTGATCTGATCTTCTGGAGCTAATAAATACATGCATGGAAGTGAAGATACAGGTTTAATTAGGAATAAAAATATATATTATTATGGTAAATAGACAAACAAGGAGCATGGATAGTCCGATTCATCTATCAAGAAAAAGGTAGTTAATATCTGACACGGATAACTGAGTGAACAATTCCAAATGATAAGAGATTTTATCAAAATGGTATGTACTCTACTTTTCTTTAAGTTTACATTACACCATTCATGCACTTTATATGATTAAAACACAATAATCCATGAGTTTTATTTCAGAGTACGGTATGTCCGAAACCCACAGAATAGGGTCTGGCTATGTATGTTTAATAAGTTTCAATAAAAATGAAACTAGTCACATATTGCCTCCTAATAGCCAATGCAAATTGTACAATTATAAAAGCTATATGCTGCAACGGGGTCTCCCTGTTAGGAAATGGGCCACACAACTAGAGGTGAGTGGTGGGTGAGTGAGCAAAACCAAAACTATCCTCCTCAGTCCATGAAAAAATAGTTTTCCATGAAACCGGTCCCTGGTGCCAAAAAGGCTGTGGCTGCTGCGCTACAGTATTCCAATTTCAAGTTACACAGAGATAAACTTGAACAAGTAACATAAAAGATCTACCTTTATAAAATGTTTAGTGAAGATGGAAAAACAAATGGACAAGCTTTAAGATGTAAGCATGTATCTGTATATATGGCAGGGGGAAGGATTTCAGTCAGGCACCTTTTGCAAGTTTACTTGGAAATGCTAAAGATCCTGGATTTTCTGTAAGTACATGCTCTGTATTAAGCACTAAGCAGAAATACAACCAAAATCTAGTGTTTTAGTTTTATTATTTTAAATTATTTTATTCTTGAAGATTAGTGATATCACACTTACTGTACACACACACAAACATACACACACACATATACACAAACAAAGCAATTTTGTTAAATCCTCAAGGTGAAATTAAAATGTAAAATATATTTATGAACCACTATATTATAAGAAGTGAGCATAGAATGAATTGGTTTCTCTCCTCCTTAACTGAACATTATATAATATTCTTAGTTTAAAAATGCTTACTTTCTTTTGACGATTCCTTCAAAATTATAGCTGTATTATTTATATTACAAATTATTTTGGAATTTTCTAACTACCTTTTATAATGCTTAGCATGTATTTAAAGAAAAAAAACTGTGTAATCAGAACTGATCGTTACAAACGACCTGCAATAACTTCATGAAAACTAAATGCCAGGGGAGATAGATAGTATTTCTTTTAGGGCAGTGGTTCTCACCTGTGGGTCGGGACCCCATTTGGGGTCGAATGACCATTTCACGGGGGTCGCCAAATCACGCTGTCCGCCATTTTTTTCCCTTTTCCCTAGCTGTCCTACTCCCTCTTATTGGTGGCCACACCCACTTGGGGGTCACCACAACATGGGGAACTATATTATGGGGTCACGGTATTAGAAAGGTTGAGAACCACTGTTTTAGGGTATTATTAACTATCATGTTATCATGAATGAAACTCTATTTTGTGACTTTCATTTTCATATGTTTCATTCTGAGCTTCCAATGATCTTCTTGGTATAGCAGCAAAACTAAGCAGATTTATAATAACACTGGTTGTTATTAAGGATGAAAGAAAAGGGGGAGGTTAAAGTAAATTCATTGCAATCTCTATTTGATAGGCACTTTTCTAAAATATGTCAGGAATTAGTAACCTTTGTATAGGGCTGCTTGTTTTTCTCTTTCATCTTTCATAATTAGATTTATTCTCATTCCTGAAGCACCTACATCAAATAGCCGTGTAACTGACCTATATGGTTTAAACAGAAATTACTAAAAACTGTTCATAAATTAAAGAATGGCATTCAAATGTAGAGTAAGTATCTCATGCCTAGGAGATACATAGAAAATATCTGATTATAATTTTTATAATAGTTTTGTTTTATTCTGTGATAATTTATAGATGCAGCCAATACTTTTCTATCAAGAATTATCCATGTCAGTTTCAATTTATTTCAACAAATTGGGATTATTTGGGGAAAAATGGAGGTACTAATATTTTTGGCCACTTCTGCTTTCCATTCAGTATAATTTAAAGCTATAGAAAATGTTTTTACAATGGATTATAGCTATAATATTTTGCTATAGGAAATTACAAAATTATCCCATGTAATCACTCTCTCAATTATCTAAAGCAAATAGTAGATGATAATAAATGCAGTAGAAAATTATTAACCTTCCCTGACATTTATATCAGGATGGGAAAAAATAATTAAATTTCTAATGCTGGGTAACAAATAAGTCAAGTACAAGGCATATATCAGTGAGTAATCATTAAATATACATTGTGATACATTATTTTTTTCAATAGAGATACCCATTTCAAACAAAAAGGAATGCATAAGCCATATTTTCAGAAGCAACGCATAAATGTTTTTAATGTTAAAATCTTGGTGTTATTTTTCAATATTAGCATTATGTGTTTTGTCATAGTTCTTTTTTAATATGCCGACTGTTTCTATTAAAAAAAAAGATACTGAACCTTGAGAGGGGAATCTGTTATTGTTAAAGTGGTATATAAATTTACTGTTCACTCAATCTGATATCTGGCAGTGAATTATAGTTTAAAATAGCTCTTTCAAAGGATGTGAAAGCACAAAAATATGAATAATGACTACATATTTTCAGAGATTTCAGAACTCTCTTTTAATACTTACTTTTGCAAAGATCTGAAAAATATCTAAGGCCGGCAAAAGCTGAGAAACATCTTGGATTTCCACCTTCAAATACAGCTGCAGAGTCTTAGAAAGGTACCTGAGACCTTCTTTCATGTCTTCACTTAATTCATCAACATCTTTTAAAAAGAGGAAATGTATTAAAAAGTGTGAGGATTACCCTGTGCAAAAACATCTTTAAACAATCTAGAATCAGCTTGGCAGTGTGAACATTTCAAACTCCAAAGAGACAAAATATCCTACTTTATTTTTGACAGAAATTCTCACCAGCAGTTTGATATTGCCAAATTGTACAAATATTATGTGAACGAAGAAGCAAAATCTTAAGACAAAGCAGATGTGGAGTGAGATGGTAAACAGAAAATCAGTTAAGTGTCTTACAGTAACAATAGTAATTTTATGTCATTTAAAATATTTTTCCCAATGCAAGATGGCAATACCTTGATTTATTTCAATCAGAAGTAAGCTCTTCTGTAAAAGTGGAAAAATGCATATCTAAATGGTAGGTATGTATTTTTTAAACAAGTCTAGCTGTCAATCCATAGAAAATTAATTGTTTATAACTTGTCCTTTAATAAAATGAATAATTAGCTGAAAAGATAAAGAGCAAGATGATAGAATGAATAGACAGACAGACGTATAGATTAAAATATAATCTACATTGAATTTGATACAATGGACTTTTAATACTGACATTGAATGTGATTTAATCAAAAACTCTTCTTTATTTACAATGGCATGTATGGAAAACTGCTAAAATATATGAGATATACTGCTTTTATTTCACCCAGTATAATGTCTTACTAGATTCCCTGTTAAAAGGAAAATTTCACAGACTTCCACTGCAATTTTATCCAGATACTTTTCAAGATTCAAAGTCTCAAATAACATCATATGATACTCCTTTTATATGATATAACAAGCTGAATTATCAATGCCTTTCTTAATCCACAGATATGGAAGACTGGGGAAAATTATTCACTCCTTATTTGACTATTGTCTAATTAGGCAATTGGAAATCTAGTATTCTCTCCCCCCCATTTATTATTAATTATTAATCTAGTGATCTTGATAATTTCCGGCACTTTTTTTTTTAGAAAAAAAAGCACCGGACGCATACGAGAAAAGGGATTGGGGGGAGAAAAGGGGAAAAGAGAATGGCAACCTTGGAAACTATTAGCGTAGCAGCAAACGCATGCCCTTTAAAAATAAAATAACCAGAGATGATGAATGGACCAATGACCAGGTCGAAAAGCCGAATGCAGAGTCGACCGGTGATATAAGAGAACTCCCAGTAACCTTGCTTTTATGCTCTGATGATATTGGCAGTGTTGGCCGATGAAAGCTTATCACTTGTATTAAACAGTTGTTGGTTTAATGTTATCCTGGTGTTCGAACTTATTTATTTTTATCACGAAGCACAAAGCCGAAAGCACCAGCCTGAAGATGACGAATGAGACTTTGTCGAAACGTCGCCAAGACACTTCCAATTTTACGTGGGAGAAAACCCGAATAACCAAAGACCTACATGTATGTATGTATGTATGTATGTATGTATGTATGTATATTGAAATTGATAAACAAAAATGATCACCAGGATAAAATCATAAACAAAGCTGTTTAATCTACAAAAGTACAGAGCTTTTGTCGGCCATACTGCCAACATCGTCAGAGTATAAAATGCTGGATCCGGGAGTCCGTTTTTATGTGACTGGCTGCTTCTGCACCTTGACCCTTGATTGGGTCATTGGTCCGCTCATTAGCATCAGCCATGTTGTTCTTAAAGGGGCTGTTTCTGAAATTGCTCTCCCCCCTCCAGTTATTATATATTAATTTTAATTAATTAATTAATTTAGTAATTCTTTCTTTTTCTATCATTTTGTCTTTGACGTAGAAACAATTAACAGGATTAATTATCTCTAGAGCAAAGTTTCGGGAAGGAGTAAATCAACAAAAATAAGATAAACTTACTCTGAAAACAAAAAGGCAGCCATGTTGGTAGACATTTTATATTTTAGCTCAATAGTCTGTCCCCATACTAGCCATATGGATGTCTCTGAGAAATTATTTTATTCATGTTTCCCAAAAACTGGTAGGGAAGAGCATGTGCCCATAGGACATTGCGACAGACAGAAATGCAGTCTAGTTGCCAAGAGCCGGTTTGTGATCATATGACTATGGGGGTGCTGCAATGGCCGAAACTTTGAGAATCAATCATCAGAATCATTCATTTAGCATTGTTTGATGAAGCTTGTAAGAGGGCTGAACAAGCTGTCATTAACTGAGGACTAATTGTATTTCAATTCAGGATAGACACAAAGTAGAACTCTATATCCATCCAAAATTTTGGGATGAATTTGGAGAATCAGTAATAATAATAAACCTGTATTGTATAGAACAGAATTATCTGTACTGGAACAATTAACTATTGGCTAGGAAGAAACACCCAATAGAAATTGTATAGCAAATGATCAAAAATTCAGTTCCAATATCATATGAAATCGAAAAAAAATAGCAAATGAACTAAACTGAAATCATGTAAATGAATTGTTAAAAAAATTCCTTGGAAAATGAAACATTACAAAAAAAGATTACACATATAGAACATTTTTACATGTTATCACAAAAGTACTTTTGAATCCTTTCCCACCCTCTGTGCATACGAATGAATGCTAGTAATTCAGGAGAGAAAGCAGGGGATGAGTGCCTAAATCACTCTAGCCCCATTCTAGCTCAATGTAATCTATAATTTGTATTAATATTCCATCTGCAGGCACACTGATGATTATTTACATCCGCAGATTCAACAGGGGAAAAATTCTCACCTAAATATGAAAATATGACATTCACCTGCAGGTTTTCTTTTTGAAAGAGTTAACAATGTAGTCTCAGAATTTGGTTCAAATACAACCCCCCCCCACTAAAATAAATACTAAAAACCTCTAAAATAAATGCAATTGTTAAGACATATATAATAAAATAATATTTTGATAAGAACATCATGGCTTCAAAATCTAAGGGATTGGTTTGGACAAAACTCAGCAGCACTTTTTCATGCGGCTGCTGATAAAAACATGATCGCCAAAGTCCGATAACAGATATGGCACAAGAAGAAGAAGAAGAATACATAATTTAGAATAGAAAATTTTCATTAATAATCCAAGATCAAATATCTGGTATTGGGGCACAGAGATTCCAAAATTATCCTTTAAATTGCACTGATTCAGTTAATACCCTCTGATTTAACTGGAAGATCTTTCATTGTTACCACAATATTTATTGTCTACAAACAGCAGTTCCTTCATCAGATTCAAGGGAGCACAGAAATCCTCACTACGAAGATGCTAACAAATTTGCATAAAATATTTAAAAGATAGTGTGTGTTCTCACACATCTTTAACATAATAGAATCCCTTTAAATTGAGAAAATATACAAAATCACTTACTTGACTGAAGGTCAGAAAGAGAATAGAGCTCTTCAGATGGGCATACTGATTGCCTTAACTGGTAAGAATAAAAAAAAAACACTAATGAATAAAAATAACCTTGGATAAATTGTTTTATTGTTTAAAAAATAGCTATAAACCTGATTTACATCAATAGAAAAAACAAAAATCATCTGAAATAAAGTAATTTGTGGCTATTTTATGATTGAAAAAACATTATTGGTGTTTTATAGCCTACATCTGCATTTTATTATTATTCATTTAATTTATTCTCCATTTTCTTGGTTTTTATATATTATTTTTATCTTGTTCACTGCTAGAATAGTTGCTACAAGTCTTTTTAAGCTCTACATCAAAGTGCACATGATAATTAAGAATTCTGCTTAAGGACTCCCTTTTTGAAATTGGTGCCTAAAGGTCAACCTCTCATAAATATCTAAGATATTAATCGTTTTGAAGAAATGAAGTAAACATGAAATTTGGCATTAGCACCAGTCTAAGATCAAACTGACTAACTCTTAAGGCAACAGCACAAATACTAATACAATTTTTAATTTTAAGCAATTTTTGTAGGATTTCATTTAGAAATTGAAACTATAAAATCATATTTCTAATGACAAAAATGTACATGTTAATACATACAATAGATTGATTTATTACTTTTAATTGCATGGTTTACTTTATCCTATTTCTAATTTCTAAACAAATGCCCAAGAATGCAACTGAAATAATTTCAAAAGACTTTATACAATCATACATTGTTACATACCACATCTAACTGTTAGTTGTATAGCCTATATAGTTAGTTTAATTTTCTTTTTCCATCAACTTAAAAGCTAGTCAAGTGAAGAGACAATACCTTTACTCCTGCTGATTACTGCAGAGCGATCACACACAATCACACATACATACTCACTTAGCCCAGCACATTTTATTTTGTTCTTCAACCCAAAAGACACCCAGAGGATCTCATAGTAATAAAATACACGTTAATTCCATTCCTCAAGAGTACAATTCCAAAAGACAATTCTGTACACAAGAGAAAGGGATAGAAGGCAAAAATAAACAAACTCAAGCAACAATTCTTAACATCGCACAGTTCTTATAAAAACCAGGTCAAAGGTACACAAGTCAAGATAAGAAGAGCTAAAAGTAGTAAATTGGTTCCTTTCCTATTTTCTCCTGTAACCAGCATAGGTTAGAACAGTGGTTCTCAACCTTTTTAATGCCACGACCCCCAACAGATCGTAAGTCGGGGACTACTCAACCGGTCATAAGTCGAGGACTACTCAACTGGTGCAGCACCGTTTGCAGAATGGGACTTTTGGCGGGCTCAGCAGGGCAGAGACAGCCTGGACAATTCCTATTGGCTTTTGAAAGCCAATAGAATTAGACTCTATTCAAGAGAGTCTATTCTATTGGCTTTCAAAAGCCAATAGAATAAAAGGGAGTAGCACAGCTAAGGAAAAGGGGAAAAAATGGCGGACTGCGTTGTTTGGCGACCCCCGTGAAATGGTCGTTCGACCCCAAATGGGGTCCCGACCCACAGGTTGAGAACCACTGGGTTAGAACATCAACTCATCAAGTCTCACTTGAGCTCTTTGCTATAGGCACTTTATGATACAAAGATATTTCCAAAGGATTTTGTCAAATAAAAACGTGGGGCAATCTGACAGAGAAGATTTTCTCAACCTCTCCATCTCAAGGATCACTTGAACTCTGAAATACACAATCTGTTTCCACATAAACAGAACTGGAGCAGATATATTTTGCAAAAATTAATCATATATAAAAATGTAACTTACTACTTTGAAAATAATCCTGCCAACAAGCCTCACTGAGTCACGAGGAAAATTAGGGTTAATATCTTTAATACATTTGCATTCCCGTTTGTGGTCCAACCAGGCTTCTTTCTAGGAGTGAAAAGAAATTATTTTTCCTTTAATAGTTAGCACTTTTTTTTAAATGACCTCCTCCCTCAATGTTTTACTTCCATCTCTGTTCCTTTAAATGATATTTCAAATGATATTTCAAATAAAGTGTTTGCAATGTACTGTACAGAATATGATTAACAAATACAAATAAGAATTGTATAGAGTCATCATTTCCGATGTATTCAGAATTGTGTGGTAACAGCGAAATGCAACTGCTACAAAGACAATTGCTATCTTGGGGTGTATGAACAGATACATAAAATATAGACTGCAGAAATAGTTCTTCTACTCCACTTTGTCCTGGCCAGGCCCCATGTGGAATACCATGTCTACGTCTAGGTACCTGTAGTGGAATGTACCCTGGAGTCACAAGAGGGAGGGACTCTTTTCCAGAAGACAAACAGACAGTAAAGCATAAACTGTCTGGTGGGCAGAAAGAGCAAATTTGGACCCTTCATAGAGTATATCTACAGTTATTGCAGAAAATTACTTCAGACTGGCAAGATTCTGTTTGTAGATGAGCAGCAGTAAAGGAATTACTCAAAAGTAACTCCACATGTCATTCTTGGTTCTTTGGGCCTGATAGTACCCCAATTCAAGTAGGACTATGTAATTAGAAAACAATTTCACCAGCTAAAAAATTTGAATGTTGCATTGTCCATCTATGCTTCAAAATAATTACCTGACAATGTGCACCACAGTATCTTGCAACTTTGCATTGAGAACACCTAAGTAGCCGTTCCTTTCTAAAGTGGGAAAAGTGGGGAGGGAGGGAGAAAAAAAATAAAATGTCAATTAAATAGATTTACAATGCATACTCAGTTTATCTGATACAGTTTGCTGGCTTAGGAATGTAGATCACAACTACAAAAAATACATTTTCCATCTGTGTTAAAAAGTAAACATTATGTTTACATATTTACATTTTTTCTTTTAATTCAGTTACATCCCTTTTTACTTTATTTGTATTTTGATTAGTTAAGAAAATGAGCATCTACAAAAATTGGTGAGGCTTCCAAAACAAAATTACTTTGTGAAATAACATCTAGCCAAATAGAGCTCCCTTGACAATTAAATTTTCTAAAACAGGAATGGGTAAACTTTTGTGACCATGAATCATTTATGAACAAGAGTTATTGGGAATGTAACAATGAGTAGATGAAGTCAGTCTTGGGAGAGGCACAAAAAATGGACTGAGGGGCACATTCAATCTTTGGGTCTCCCCAGCCCTGTTTTAAGTGGTGAAGAAAGAGTAACAATATGATTTGTATTTCTGTCCAGAAACAAATCTGCACAAAGAAAATTGACAAGATACTGTATTTATATAAACATGCATATAATTATATAATCTATATCATATATTGATTCATTGATATTAACATTTATTAACAACAGTATAACATTTATTCAATCAATCAATTTGGGGGGTGGCTGGCTGGCTGGACAGATCGATATTTCTTATAGTTTCTTTCAAACACTTGGTCCTAGTCCTATGCTATCTAGTTACTCTGCAAGAAACTGGATATCTTTCCAGTTCAATTCTTTAAAATATATGAGAAGACAATGAGCAGTCATATGCCAAATTGCCTCAACAAGTTATGTTTTACAAGGTGCCACCTAGAAGATAAGAGAAAGCAAATGTGCAGTGAATGTGTTGGTCCTAAATAAATTTCATTGCAATCAGAGTCTACTTCACATAAACGCACATACCCATTATTGTATCCTTAAAGAAATCTCATCCCATAAGAAAGCTGAATAAGACATATAGTGTTTTCACTATGTGTGTTTCTATATGATATTCTCTAACAAAAGCTGTACAATAAAATGAGGCACATGTATCTATTAGTACAGTTATACTGTATGTTGACCACTTTCCTTCAGTCCCTTGGGTGGTCAACTTTTAGAGGTTTTCTGTACTAAATCACTCTGCAGAGTTGTTATACACCACTCCCGCTGCCCTGAAAATGGGCATAACAGTACTATGTTGTCTTTCAGACTTATGTAGCTCAGTCTTTTCATCAATGTTCTGCTTTGTATTAAATCTAAAAAATAATGGTGGATTTTAACTAAAATAGCTACCAGGATTATTTTTAAAAAAAAATAGTCCAAAATTCAGAAAGAGTTGAATTACAAATTTAACAAACTTCTGTCTTTCCAACTCCATGTTCTTCTCATAAATAGACCCGTTATTACCAAATACTAAACACCTTGATATCTAAACTGTTTATATCTTCCTACCAAGCACAAGAGTCAAATCATGTCTTGTATAGTATATCAAAAGGCCAGAACTGAAATGTGAGTGTGGCCAACTTCAACAATTCTGCTAAAAAATGGGTGACTGGAAAAACTTAATTCATCTCTCTTGTTAAAAGGAAAGGAAAGGAAAGGAAAGGAAAGGAAAGGAAAGGAAAGGAAAGGAAAGGAAAGGAAAGGAAAGGAAAGGAAAGGAAAGGAAAGGAAAGGAAAGGAAAGGAGACTGGCCCAGTTTGGGGCCCAGCTTTGTTGGAGGACAGTGAAGAGATGCTGGCAAATCCTATCTCTTGCTAAAAAGTGGGGTGACAGAAAAGCTGAGAATCTTGGGAATATGTTCCCCTTTGTTGATTTCACGCTTCCCAAACAGGATGGGGGAGTGTGTTTTGTTGTGGGTGTAACTGTGTATGTCATTTTGTCTTTTTTTAATCTCAGGTATGAAAATTAAATGAGTTTATATTCATATATCCTTGAACATAAAGCATATTTGGGGTCATCCTTTAAGAGATATTTCCTTGCCTAAACAGTTTCAGAATGACTAGAAGTAGGCAAAAATGCAGTGAGAGCAGGAGCAACTTCCTACCAGCTTTCCCAGTGACTTTGCTGCTGGGAAGCTGGCAGGGACTATGGGAAATCACAATCATGTGACTGTGGCAATACTGCAACATGCACAACTTTGAGAATACAAGTAGTGCGAAGATCCTTGAAATTTCAATTACACATAAGTAATGAATCCTGGATTTTCTGAACATTCTTTAAGTTAGCAGATTTAAGGTACTTGATTCATTTGAGGTATGTCATTCATGCGTTGATTCTGATTGATACTAACTGAAGATTACAAACAGATAAACAGATAGGAGAGTTTTAGTAGTATATAGATAAAAGTGTTTGTCAGGTAACTTACTTTCCAGAAGAACAAAACAATGACAAGACTGAGTACAAGCCATCTATTCTCAGAAGTCCCATTAAATTCAGTGAGATTTATTCTCAAATATGTATGTATAAAATTGCAGTCAAAAAGCTATAAAATCCCAAGTGTTGTCTTGCACTGAGTAATTCACTACATGTAAAAAAAATCATAATATTCATAGTAACCTTCAAGCAGATATTTGATACAAACTGAAATGCTGCGATCTGAGCAGGATATATTTTACTTTTCTCTGCTGAGATAATAAGTAGAAAAAAAATAACACTTTAATTTTCTTGTTCTGGTTTCACACAGGAAATCAAATGCTCTATTTAACACAGTAGACTCCCCAAACAGTTTTGTAGTAAACAACACAGTTAGTTATAATTTGCTACAGGGAGTCAAAAACATGGTATCTATTACAAAACAAAATCCACTAACTCAGAGAGCAGACATTTACTGCCTCAAACAAGATTCCAGTTGCAAAATGTGTTTATAAATTAGAGCTTTGTCTAAAATAAATAACCTCAATATCTTATGGCAGCGTGATAAAATAACATTTTGGAAAAAAAATAAGAAAAAAAATAAAAAGATGAAGCAAATTCCTAAACACCTGAGCCAGAATGCCTACAAATGTTTGCTCCATAGGATTTTGATTTAGTACAGTTATTGTCTATTCCTAGTATTAGTATTCTTCATCTTTAAATGTAATTCAAGCATATATGTCTTGGACCAGAATTGTTCCTTACTCCCTTCCCTTTATTTCATTATCCCAAAACCCTCATATATGGGGTGTAATACGGGATGAGGTAGATACTAGGCAAACAGGCAGAGCTATAAGTAGATGGATGTCACAGATGGGCAACACGCTGTATGGGCATGTGAGTGGGTGCTGGGGCCACTAAAGAGCATAGGGATGGACAGCCAATAAAGCAGCAGGATTAACTTACAACCTTCTGTCAATTTTCCCATTGACTTTTCTTGTGGGAAGTTATCAGGGAAGGTCACAAATAGCAATTATGTGATCACAGAACACTGCAACTATCATAACTATGAGCTGGTGGCCAAGTGCCTGAATCATGATAACATGACCATGGGAATGCTACAATGGATGCAACTTCACAGACCATCCATAAGTTGTTCTGTGCCATCTTAACTCTGAACAGTTATTTAACAAATGATCGTAACCCAAGCACTACCTACGAAAAGTCCCTATATTATATTTTTGTAGTATAACTATTTACATGTTTATAAAAACATTTGATTACAGGATTCTGCTCTTTTTAAATATAATTAAATATATTGTTTTAAACATTGAAATGAATAATTTCCCCTGAAATCCATTAATCGCCATTAAACGTGATGAATCCTTCAATTATTAAATCCTGGGGTCATTTTTGATCATAATTACTGGCCTTCTGGTCCATCCTACTCTGGTAATGAAAGCCAGGATTATTTGTACAGCAGTTTAGTTTGAACAGTAAGTAGTTAAATGTAATTTATGTATAAAATCAGTAAACTTTCAAAATTCTTTTTTTTAATCCATTATTTTTCACCCCTTCAATCTGTCAGATTGGGCTTCTAGATTTCCAATTGCTCTGCATTATCAGTTATCATACAAATACCAGCACATCTTCATATTCACTGTATTCACTCAAGGGGAGACTAAATTAGATTGGGAAATTACCTAAATAAAATCTCTTTGCTGCATGTCTAACCTTTCTTTTCACAGTACTAACAAGTCATGCAAGTGTAAAGAACTATATAGTAGTTTAAAGTGTTTATTCAGATTTCTAAAGCATCTCAGGGTGTATAAGAGTTCAGTAAAAATGAAATCTGTTAATTTCTAATTCCTATTAGACTCTGAGAATCTAATCTGAAGTCTCCTGTTTCCAATAACAAGCCTGGAACAGATTTCAGTAAAATATTCTGTACAATAATTATCTGAATGCAATGTCCAATAAAAATACAGATATTTGGGGTTATTGGGTTTTAATACAACTAGATGAGTTTTATATGAGAAATGCCAATCTGAATTAGATCAAGATCCAACTAATCTAAGTTTTTTAAACTATTCTTTTGAAACATCAGACAACCCATCTGGCTGTCCTTGGTAGATATAACAAACAGAGACTTAAACAACACAGCTATTTATTGTAGCAAAACTATGGTATACAAACAGCTGACATTCATAGTCTGATCCTGATTTATACCTTTTTAAAAATTCAAATCTAGTGTTCTCTTTTCCAGAATCTTGTGTAATCATATTTACTTTTCTCACATTAGAGCAGGGGTGTCAAACTCGCAACATATTGTGACTTTTTGCCATTGCCGGCAATGGGGTGGATGTGGTTTCACTATGATGCATACGGCCCGTGGGCCGGCAGTTTTGACAACCCTGCACTACAGAATAGCAGCTACACATTTATATTCATGCTCTGAGAATCTCTTGCCACTAACAATCTCCTGGTCATGGTGGATAATAATCAATGCTCTTTTTAAAAAAATGAAAAAAATTGGATTTTTTAAAATTTAAATTGGATTTTTTTTATTTTTATCAAATTTATTTTAATAAAATGCTTTTGGAGT